GGTAACTACGTGAGGAGATATGTTAATTAGCTGGACTGTAGTAATCATTTCAGTATGTATATGTATATCAAATCATCACTTGTATACCTTAATATATGCAATTTTTATGTAAAAAAATAAATAGAATTGTTCTAATTTCCTTCTGACATTGTTATTTTAATTGTTTATTGTTTTTCAATAACAAGAGTAATATATGTGAATTGCAGAAAATTTAGATGATACAGATTCTACTACTCAAAGAAAATCACCATTAACATTTTGCTATATTTCCTTACAGTTTTATTTTCTAGGCATTTAAAAATCATTAAACTCTCTGTGGTTCCCTTCTTACTCAAAATAATGTTGCATTACATTTTCTAATTAACCAAACTGGATATTTTTAAAGTATCAATACTTTTAAATATCGGGGAAACATTTTAAGAATTAAGTTCTTTCTTATGTTGTAAAGATTACTGCCCATACTTGAATTACACTCTGCTAATTGCCTCTCATGTTTTTATCTGACCAGTCCTCTTGTTTATAACCAAAGTTTAAGAAAATAAAAATATTAATGTTTGTGCTATGGATATATCTAAAGTCCTACTTTCATTTTATTGGCAATACTACAGTTTAACTTTGCATGTAATTTGAAGGGTTTTTAAAGTCAAAACTTTTCTCTCAGATCATACATGGACAGATCTCTTAGTCCTTACCTATAGTATTTCATTTTATCTTCAAAATGGGTCTGTAGAAGGAGATATTATAATCCCAATTTTACATATAAATAAATTGACTATTAGTTCAAATATTACCTAGATCAGTCTTAAAGCCAGGGGTTTGGGTTTGTTATTCAGTCAGATCTCATCTCCAAGTTGCAAGTTGATTGAGAAATAGACCAAGGAACCAATTGGAAGATCAGGCGGTCAGTTCTGCTACTGATGAAGCCAGAGTAAGGCTTCCTACGCCTCCTTCCCACCTGGCACTGAAGGGCGATGCCACCGTGCCCCTGCACTGGGCAGAGCTCACAACACAAAGAAGCAGAGCGGGCGTGAGTCTGGGGGCAGGCCAGGCTGACAGGAGAGGGGCCCAAACCTTCTCAGTTCCCTCTCCAATATCACTGGAACCAGAGAAAGCAGGGTTGTGTGCAGAGGGCCTTCTGACAGGACTGGGGCTCTCAGAGAAGGAGGCTGCCAGCCCTCCAAGACTGTCAGGGAGAAAGCCCAGGTAGTAAAGGACCTTTTTGCTGTTCTTTTAACTATCACAGAAAATTATTTCAGGCTCTATATTCAAAAGGTTACTTTGAAAATTAAAACTTACGTTTCACTAAGTTTGGTGAGGTTCCCCCCCCACACACACACACCAGGGCACACTCATCATAAACTTCTAGTTTATCTGTATTTTCTTTCTGATACTCACATATTAATGGTTCAGTACAAAATAGCAACCTCAGCATGTCAACTCTTATAAGGACAAATTGCCCAGCACGTATGATGCATCTAGTCTGAGACAACCACACATTTAAATCGGCAGTATTGTAATTTTTTCGCATGGCACTCATCAAAATACCCAGAAACTCTAGTACTCACTGTGTTCAATGAATGTGTTTAAAGTGCTCTCAAATTACAAGGGAATTTACCACACTATAATCTCTTAGTGGCGAATTGATCCTGTCTCCCTTTTTGCTCAATAGAATGGGTAGCTCATGATAGAACATAGAGCTCACGTCTTGTCTTTGCTTCCGCTAAGTGGGAGAGAACACTCAGATGTTTGCTACCACAAAATATATTCCCAACAGAATAAATGGAGCTTTTTCAGGGACTCGAATATATTCGGTTAGGTTATCTGCATGAATCCATTTAGGTGCCCAATTTACAGTAGAATCTTTAACCTCCATTGGGAAGAATAGTGCTAAAACAAGAGCCTGGCCTTTCTCCTGGACTTGATAGCGTTTCTCACTAGGTAAAGTGCATTTACTTTTTTTCCTTTTTACAAAAATTTATCGTTTTTAATTTTGTTCTGTAATTCCTAAATTGGTTATTATATTAGTCAACTGAATAAATACGTCAAATTACTATATAATTTACCTACTTGATTTATTAGTCAATAGCTTATTTTAAGGCTATTAAAATGAAACCTTTTAGCAATAATATAGCATCATTGAGCCAGAAACTGTGGTGAGTGCTTTACAAACATTATTTCTAATCCTCAGAATTTCTAAATCCTACGTGATTAATATTTTTATTGCCCAAATGAGGAAGCTGAAACTAAAGATGTTTAAATAACTGGTGCAAGTTTACACAGCTAGTAAGTGATAAACAAGCCCTTGGGTCCCTGTGTGTCTGATTTGGAAGCCTAGGCTCTTCCCACTGCCCCACACTGCCTTCCCGGTGTTTTGCTGCCCTCTCCCTACAGTCTTTAGCTCAGGAGCAGTGGTGCCTCAGCAAGACCATTTGATTGCTAGTAGAGAAGCCCACTAAAGCATATTAACCAGAAATGGGTGTTTATTGGAAGAACAAAAGGGGGTCCAAGGGCTTAGCTACAGGGTGTTTGAGTGTTTTTCCAAACACCCCTTTTGCTGCTCTAACCTTTGCAGTTAAAGACGGGAGTGCTCAAATGCAGGCATGACCTAACCACTCCGCCGGGAATCGAGGCAGGAAAGAAAATGCGCATATCTTAAAGGGCTCTATACCATGGCTTAATTGTACATACACACTCATCCTGAACCAGACACACATCCACACGGCAACAGGAAAAGAAATCATGACAGTCGGAGCCATGGTGACAATTCATTCTCCAACTGGAAGCTCATTCATCTGGCAGAGTGAGAAGCCGGAGTTCTCATTAACTGAAATCAAGGTTAAATAAGAGTTACCATTGTAAAAATAATCATTAACTAAATAATCATCTGGTGTAATAAATTTCACTTAGAACCAAACTTTGTGTACAATTTAAACTGGTGGTTCAAAATTTCTGTCAGGGTCCTGTAACAGTAATGATCAGTAAGACCATTATGAAAATCAGTTCTTGCTGGACCAGCCTAGATATAAAAGTGGTATGAGAGACCCTGAGGAAGTTGCCTTTTTCCTCCAGTATTTTTCGTTTTCTGATAAAGCTGGAACTGCAGAAGATTTTGAGCTCTCTATTTTTAAAAATTCTGAATACATGAATCTTTCCTATTATCCATTTCAACAATATCTTACGCATCTGTTTTGTGCAAATTGCTGTGCTAGGTGCCATAGGAGATTCAATGAGGAGCAGAATGCTATCCTTGTAAGGAGTTCATAGTGCAGAGAGAACGACAACATTTATGCAGCGGCTTATTTTGTTCCAGGCATTGTTATAAATACTCTACATTAGTTTATTTAATTCTCATGACTGCCCTACAATAAAGGCCCCCTTTCACGGAGGAGAAAATTGAGGCATAAAGTTTACAAAAGTATTCAGTAATAAGACTATTACACAGAAAACTGTAAGACCACTCAGCCTATGATAACTACCATCCATGAGAAGTTTGGACAAAGTGCTTTGGGGGCTCTGAGATTATCGGGATCAAGAAAGAATTTATGGATGAGACAGCTTTTGAGATGAGCTGACAACACAAGTGTGATTTCAATAGGCGGAGACACCAACTGCAATACGGACTTTGATCTTGAACAGGCTGAATTTGACGTGCTGGCAGCACAGCCAGATGAGAATGTTTAGTCTACCAGATTAGTGCTTAGAGGAGAGATTGGGCAGGAGACACAACCCGAGAATTATTTGTGCAGATTCAACTCTATTAGAGGGAAGAGTTTAGAGAGCGTAAAGAGAAGATCAAGGATGGAGCCCAGGCAGAATACCCCCTTTTAGCAAACGGGAGGAAGAAGACAAGGGAGCCAGAGAAGAAGGAATAGCCAGGGAGAGAAAAGTCGAATGGTATCTTGGAACCAATTAGCAGGTGGGTTTCTAAAAAAGGAGGGGGGCGGGGGAGCCCAGGGGGGCGGGGCATGGTGCAAATTCTGCAGGAAAGGGGATGTGTGGGAAGGGGACTTGAAAAACGGACACTAGAGGGGGGGGAGGAGGCAATTTAGAATTCAGGGTGAAGGGGTGCATTATAGCCAAGATGTCCACTACTCTTTTAAGAAGTTTGGTAATGAAGGGAAGCAGAGAAGTAGGGTGGCAGAAGGGTTTAGGAAAGGCATGGATTTAATAAGAGAAACTGGGCATGAGGTCTGAGGAACAGGTGGAAGACACAGGTGAGGAAGGTCCTTGAGAGGGGCAAGGAATAGGACTGAGAGCTGCAATGACTTACTTGCATTTTTATTTTCCAAATGAGCTCTGGAAATTCTCAACTGCATCCATTTATAGAAGGAATCGTCAGCCAGTGTTATCTGATATTTTCTAAATTTGTTAAAGACAAAAAAAGAGGGAAGACAGATTTTTCAATGAAATGGAGAGTTTACCTACTCCAGTGATCTTTACTGAATCGTCTTCAGATGAATCATCATATCTGAAACACTTTTTAAAAATAAAAATTAAATGAATTAAAATAAGAAAAAATAAGGAAAATAAAAATGCTGCTACTCAAACATCATGAGTGCTGGAAACGTCTATAAACATGCTAAGTGAGCATGAACAACCATCATTTCTAAAGGATGCCACCCAAAACATCGATGACTTAATAATAAAAAAGACATTCTTGCTAAATATGGCATGGGTTGTTTCATGCCCACTTTAATTTCTGATTACTCTGCAGATGCTCCCTTGAAAAAGCTCATAATGCCTGTAACTGATAATGATATCCTATCCTACTATAAAATGTTACCTTAGGTGGAAATAAACTGAATTACCAAGCAGCTGCCAGCAGGGAGCAGCGTAATATGTTCTCCATCAACATATTCACAGCAGCATTGCCTGCAGCATAAAATCCAAACTCCTTAGCTTGGAATTCAAGGCCCCTTACAGTGAAATCACAACCGAAATGTCTGTCTGGGCTCCTGCTTTTCCTCTCCACGCACCCCATGCTCATGGGCCACACCTCCATGGCTCTGCTGACATCCTGTAGAGTCCAGAGCGCCCTTCATCACAGCCCCAACTGCCTGCCCTGGTCGCATAGCCACACAGCAGAGGACAGTGCCCCACACCTGGAGTCAGAAGGCCTGCTCTGCCATTGTCCAACTCTAAGGGCTTGGCCCAAGGTTATCTCCAAGGTCACTGAATCTCTCACCTTGGTATGATCTTCTGAAAAATAAGATGATCATAATAATCACCCGGAGAGTTATGATAAAGACTAAGTCATAGAAGCAGTTACAAAATGTATATTTTGTAAAACCACAAAATGCCTTGCAGGTGTGAGCAGCAGTTATGGTACCCCACTTCACCATGCAGGGAATTACACCCGTGCCCCCAAACCTGCCTTCTTCCCCCACTTTCAAGGCTGTTTTCTTGAAAACAGGGGCCAAGTCTCATCGACGTGTTTAGTCAAGCACTGATGAGAGTATTTAGTATGTAATAAAGCCCAGTACATGCTGACTGGATTGATCAGAGAAAGTGAACTTTTAGGGAAAAGAAAACTGCCCAAAATGGGGAGGGCTCCAGGGAAGGAGGATCCCATGCGAGCAGACAGCTGGCGTCTCCAGACTCCTACCTCTTCCCTCCCCTTCCTCCTCTTCTTCCTCTTTCCTCTTTTTGCCGTCTCTCTCTCATCTTTTTCCCCTTCACTGAGAGAGTAGCAAGGGAAGGCTGGACCCTCACAGCCCAGGTCTCTCCTCCTTAGCGAGGCCTTCCCTGGCGCCACCTGCAGGTGTCTTTTGTATGTGCTTGGTGCCTAGCACAAAGCCCAGCACCCAGGAAGCACACGACAAACGCATGAACCCATGAGCCTGGTGCTGACACACGTGCGGCCATGCCGTCCTGGAGTCCTGGCAGACTTCTTTCCTTCTGTGCCGAGATTCAGCCTCCGAACCCTCCCTCACTGAGCACTCCAGGCCGTCAGCCACTCAGCAGAAATGACGTGGAAATAAAAAGTTTCCCACCTCTGGGATAGTGACTGTTGATTTAATTACAGTAATTTTCATGAAGGGTTGAATGATCAAGATGTTTAAGGAAGGCCAGGATGTCAGAAAGGACATTAGCATTTGTATTTCAGAAGGAATGCTTTCCAGTTTTCATTTAATAGAAGGAAAAGATGAGAAATAGCACATGCTCTGTGGTAAGCACATTGTTAATCTGCTTAATCTTTCTAATCCTAGAATGTAAAATCCCATTTAACAGATGAAGAATGGAGACTAGCCAGTTAACTACCTAAGCCAAACTAAAACCACGAGCAAATGATGCAACCAGTATTTGACCCAAATCTGTTAGGCCCAAGAAATTGCTGATGACGGATAAAAACAAGTAGTCAAGAGAGAAAGTTGAGAAGGCCTCTTAATCAGGTGTTACTACAAACACCAACATGGCCTGCCATTCCTCGGAGGTGCCTTGCTTTCCTTGTTTGGCATAATTCCATCAGAGGCATTAATCCATGTTTGTGGCTCTATCAATCGGGAATCACCTCGGGGACACACTCTTCCTGCCATTTTACCACAAATGACTGTGTGATGGGGTCACTGCAGCTGAGAATGGCAGCCTGACCATGAGACAGGCACTTTAGAAGCTGCGAGAAACCCAGGGGGGAGGGAATCTTTGTCTAATGTATAGCCATCTTGCAGACCTGGGCATAAAGCCAACGAGAAGGCGGAAATGGGGGCGATCCTACTAGTACACAATGGGGAAGGACTAAGACTCTCTTCTTTTTTCCTGTGAGGAAGATAAGCCCTGAGCTAACATCCATGCCAATCCTCCTCTTTTGGCTGAGGAAGACTGGCCCTGGGCTAAGGTGCCCACCTTCCTCCACTTTATGTGGGACGCCGCCACAGCATGGCCTGACAAGCGGTGCGTGGGTGCGAGCCGGGATCCGAACCCCGGCCACTAGCAGCGGAGCACGCGCACTTAACCGCTACGCCACGCCACGGGGTGGGCCCCAAGACACTCTTTCTATCCAATGCTAGAAGCTTCATTGGGCCTCATTTGCAAAGTGGAAAATAATACCTACCTCAAGAGAGTGTTATGAGGGTTAAATGGGTTACTGTAGGTAAAGTATTTAGAACAGTGCCTGGACCATAGTAAGCATTCAAAGAATGATAGCTGTTGTTATTAATGTCACTCTGATTTCAGTTTTGCCATCTGTAAAGAAAAATTAAGAAGGGGAGGATTAAATCATCTTTGCTGTCTCTAACCAGCCAGAGGAAAGGGGAACTAGCAGTTACACTCCATCTGAGCCTGACGTTGGGCTGAATTTTGGATATGCAGAGAAAAATAAATAATATCCCTGCTTTCAAAGAGCTCACAGTTTGATGGGAAGACAGAGGAAAATCACTGATTCAGTGATAGAATAGATACAGGGAAAATTCTAGAAGAGTACAGAGACGGGTTTTGCAGTATAGTGGAAAGATTTACACAGACTCCACTTTTAAATCCAAAACTGTCCTCTTGTAACCCTGGGCAGTTCACTTAGTCATCCCTGCCCCAGTTCCGTTGTCTGTAAAACTACAGATTATGAAAGAAGCTAACTCGCAAAGCCATTGTGAAGATTAAGGAGCTCTGTACATGAAGCGCCTCCTGTAGCGCCTGGCACAGAGCCGCGTTCAAAAGCGGTCATTACTATGATTGCAATGGTCCACGAGGAAGGTACAAGGCCTGAACTAAAAAAAATGGAAATAGAAGCAGGAAAGGACGGCTAAAGAGCTACTCATCCTTCCGGGATCGCTTAATTATTGTGATAAAGTGAGAGGACGGGGGGGAGGCACCCACCCCAAGTGCGGCCACTAACTGGCGCTCGCGGCGTCGGCGTCCTCGTCGCCCGTGGCAACCGGCGGGCCTTGGCTCTGGCCTGGTAGGCGCAGCGCAGGAGCAGCAAGATGGCCGTGAGCGCCCGGTCCACAGAGAAGGAGCTGCAGGCGGCCGCCGTCTCCACTGGCCCCTCCCTGGAGTTGTGCACCTTCCCCTCCACCCTGGGCTCCTCGGTCGCGGCAGCCGCGCTGGAGCAGCTCTCCGTTGTGGGTGAGAGGCCCACGGGGTCCGGGAGGGACGTCCCCTCGGAGGCGGCGCCTGGGCGGCGCTCAGCGGGAGCCCACAGCGGGGACCCTCCTCCCCGGAACCCAGGGCATCCCTGGCTAGGGCAGACTCTTCTCTGGCTCCTTGGAGGAGAGAGAGGCAGCGGGGTGGGACCCAGGGCACAGCTACTCTGCTCTAGTGCTACTGGAGTGACTCAGCCCAGCTCACACTTGGAGACAAATCCCGGGTAAATCCTGGACTCCCAGGCCGCTGCCATTTGCCTGCGACTGGAGTGCCCACCTGCATTTAGTTTAGGCGTTAATTTCAGCTTGTCCCTTCTTAGCTTTTCTTCGCAAGTTAATTTCCTCCAGCCATGGCCAACTGGAGAATTTACAGGCAAACAAGAGAGTGGTTTTTTTTTTTTTTTGATAATTTTATTTATTTATTTATTTCCCCCCCCAAAGCTCCAGTAGATAGTTGTATGTCATAGCTGCACATCCTTCTAGTTGCTGTATGTGGGATGGGGCCTCAGCATTGTCGGAGAAGCCGTGCCTACCCGGTGTGCGCCGGGGATCCGAACCCCGGGCCGCCAGCAGCGGAGCACCTGCACTTAACCGCTAAGCCACGTGGCCGGCCCATGAAAGGGAGTGTTTAAGAAGCTCCTGTTTTCAACAAGGAAAGTTAGCTAGAAAGGGATGCTCAGGGGATGCAAACAGATGATGACCTTGGATGGTCCATGTTAAAGGACTTCTTCAGTTAGAAAGCTGAACCTGTAATCAAGGACCTCAGTTTAAGGTGAGACATAATCCAAGAAAGAGCATTTCTGTGCAGCTCATAAACCATTTAGGCCAAATAGTCAACAAAGCACTTCCTTGCTTTATTATCATCTCATCGCTTCAAGATGATCATATTGATTTCTGTTTTAATGTTACTGTTAGGTTCGGGTAGTTTCTTTTTTCCTTCTTAGATGAACTAATTTAACTTCACAATTCTTATGAGATAGGCTTGGATGAGTATTATCATGAAAAATGTTAACCACTGAAGAGGTCTTAATGTGTCCAAGGTCATTGCCAACAATAGAGCCAGGGTCTTGAACTCTTTTCATACTTGATCTCTAAATCAGCAGGTGCATTCAACCCTAGTACTTATGTGCAAATATTTTATCTGCTAGTAATTTCTGGACCCTCAGAAAGTTTTTTGTAGGAAAAAACTTCATTAAGCCTCTGAAGTTGAGTGTGAGTTATAAAAGATGTAGCTCTCCAGCCCATTTGCAGGTGGAACAAGCTTTGCTCATTCATTCCCCAGAAGAAATGAAGGGACATAGCTGGCAATGCCTGTCCCTCCTGAACACTCACTTGCTTGCAAACTCAGTAACTGATTTCCACTTGGTTTGAGAGCTTGGTTCATTAAGAGAATCCAAGTTCCCTGGAACTGAGGGCAGAAATTGCTCTTTACTCTTCAGAGGACTGAGTATGGCCAGGAAGGGAGTCACACCCCTTGTGTTTGAATCTAGACTCCATCAGTGATGGGCTCTGTGACCTTGAGCATATGGCATGACCTCAGAAGTCTTAGATTTCTCTCCTGTGAAATGGGAATCATCATAAGGTTGTGAGAATCAACTTAGATAACTCACGTAAAACATCAGTCATGTCAAACTCATCCCACACGTAAGGACGCAGGCTTGGAGTCCATTTGGGCAGATCTGTATGATGCAGTGGTGACAGAGCTAAGGTAAGTAGAACTTCCTCTGTTCTCGCCTCTTCCTTTATCCCTTCTTTCTCCTTCCTTCTTCCCATTCTATATGTATCTGGTCTTCATTACCTTTTCTAACATTTCCCAAGCCACTCTTCTCACGTGCTTCCTACTTACAGGGTGTGAGAGAAAAGGAGACTTCTGACAGTACATCAATGAGCGAAAAGAGTTAGAAACTGTCTGCCTCATACCTACCAGTTTTACCAATATTGACTCTCGTCCCGTCCTTAAAATATTGGCACAGAAGTAAAAATTAAACGGTTAATTAAATGTGTGTTTTTTGGCAAAATATTATATTTAGGATATAAATTTATGAAAACATTCTTAAACCTATATTATAGACATGTTATATTTATCCTTTTCGTAAATATTTATTGAATTTTTTGTCCTGTCCTATACAGAACCCTTCTTTCTACCATGAGAGATGCAAAAATGGAATCTTAAGAGGAGTTTGTCCTCAAGGAGCTTAAAATATATACCTAAATTAGGATACTATGAAATGAAATAACAAGTACAAAAGAGGTTCATATTAAGTACTATAGAAATTCAGAGATAGAAGATGTGATTTCCAGCCGAGTATGCATTTGAGCTAGATCTTAAAGGGTTAAATAGGATTTGGACAGACAAAAAAAAGATGTTAATTTTCTAATTTTTTTTTTAGAACAATCATTGCAAAGTGACTATTTTAAATGCAACGAAGAAGCTAGGACCTTTCTTAAGGACATTGCCATTGCTGTTAAGAAATTGGTATTGTATTATCTATAAGAGCTATTTTTTTCAATCTTCCACTTATTTCTTCATCAGACTTTAATTTAGCACCAACTCTGTTCAAGGTACTTCAATAGATGAATAGGGAAAATATTTGCTTTGAATGAAAAAAATTTTTCTCTTGATTTACTGAGCATTGGCACCAGTGTTGTTCAGCTCTGGATTGTTGCTCGATGTTCCATGTAGAACACGGGATTAAGGAGCTGTGCTACGGATGAGGGCAAGCCTGCTTAGGAGAAGCATACTGGTGATAGTGGAGCTCAGTTAAGGGGTGGGCCACGTGGGCAAATGCTTGGGACACCAATATGTGAGCGTTACTTAAAACAAACCCCTGGAATAAATTGTGTGCATGGTGCCAATTGACTCAGTTCTCTATAAGCAATTCCTTGCATAACTGATGAAAGATTATTTGGCACCTAATCCACTGAAGTAGACCATGCTATTCAGTGAAAACAGACAGAAACTCTTTCAGTTATACTAACTTGGCCCCATCAAAGAAATATTTAAAGAATTTGCTTGTGAAGTGTCACAAACATGTCTCTGCTTGGCCCTGGGTAATGTTTACAGTGCTTCCCGGGCATGTCAGAATGGTGAAGTTTTGTAGTTTGATTTAAAAATATTGAGTAAGAATCTACTAAATATCAAATACATATCAAATATGTGAAAATGTAGAAATATGGCTGTAAAGTAAATGAGTTTGAGTCTATAGACTACTGGCAAAATTTAATCTCTTTGTAATTATATTTTTATGTAATTATATATAGTTGTATATGTACACTACAGAATTATACTTTATAATTCCACTTAAGTAAATATACTTATGTAAACACTGAGAGTGTGCATGTTATACTGCACTGTGATCCTGGAGAACCCTTTTCCTTTGCTTCGTTCTTTTAGTTGTTTTTCTTGAGGATTTAAAGGGGTCAAAATATTTACTATGGCTTATAAAAGCATCTAGTGTGTCTCCCTTTAATATCTGAGCTGTGAAATCTCTTAAATAGAGATAAATCCTTCCATTTTTTTAAAGTAAATTTCTGCTATTATAAAAGCACTGCATGTGTGCTGGAAAATTTAGAAAAAAGTAGACAAGCAAAAGGAAGAAAGTAAAACCACCATGATCCCACTGCCCTAAAATAATCACAATTAACTCTTTGATGAATGGCCTTCCTGCTTCAGGGTATAGATGCTGCCTGGATTGAATTTTACTTTTTTACAGAAAAAGGATCATACTATATACACAATTATGTAATCTGCTTTTCATTTTCATAAAATATAATGGCAATTTCTCAGGTCATAAAATAACTATAGCTTTTACGACCATTTATTTAAAAGATGATTTATCTATTTTTTCCACTAATAGATTTTTGAATGCCTTTTCCTTCTTTAAAATTGCCCCACCAAAAATAATAATAATAATAATAGCCCACCAGACTATTTGTTGTAGGTATATATAAGAGGATCACTGTTCTCTTTATACCTAAGCATATTTCTATAGGCACTTTCCATTTTTTAATTAAGTAGCTTTCTTTCTCAATGTTACCCTTTTGTTGGATTGAAACAGCATACAAGAAACACACGTAGGGAAAGATGATTTCTCAGTAGAGGAAAATCAGCAGAAATTGAAAGATATATGAAAAATAACACCTTAAAAACTGATTGTAGAGTAGGTACTTTTCCCACTTTCTATTCTAAATAAAAATAATAACAAAAAGTGTTTAATGAAAATCAAAATTTGATCTCTGAAAACATTTATAGGACATTGTTTAGGAAATCAATCTTATTTTAATGTCTTAACTTTTTAAACATGTAATTTAAATTTTCAGGAAGAAATGAGAAAAAATACAATTGATCTTCTGGAAATTGAAAGCATGGAACTCAGCAGACTATATGTTCTATTGGAAACTCTTCCCAATAACATTCGCATAGAATTGGAAGGTACTTTTGAGGTTCTTAACTGTAGAAATTTAGTTTATCTTATAAGAAAATGGAGCCAAATACTTGTAACAAAATGAGTTTAATAGTTATTTCATGTCAAAATATAGCTAGAAAGAGTATACAACACAAACATAGTGAGATCCATAATAATTTTCCCTGACATTTTAAGTGGAAATAATATATAAAACTTGAATTTATATAATTTAGTTTCTAAATAGACTAAAGATATATATATCAGCCCATCTCAAATTGACATTTATTCAGTTAAATAAAGTTAGGCAGCTTGACTGGTCTTAAACCACCATTCTATTTTCTGTCTCTATGAGTTTGGCTAGTATAGGTAGAATCATACAAAATTTTTCATTTTGTGACTAGCTTATTTCACTTGGCCTGTCTTCAGAGTTCATCCATGTTATAGCACGTGTCAGAATTTCTTTCCTTTTTAAGGCTGAACATATTGTATGTCTATACCATGCTTTCTTTATCCATTCTTCCATCGATGGACACTTGGGTTGCTTCTACCTTTTGGCTCTTGTGAATAATGCTGTTGTAAACATCGGTGTGCAAATATCTATTCAAATCCCTGCTTCCAATTTTTTTGGGTATATATGCAGAAGGGAATTGCTAGATTGTATGGTAATATGGTAATTTTACATTTAATTTTTTGAGAAACTGCCATACTGTTTTCCACAGTGGCTGCACCATTTTACATTCCCATCCATGATGCACAAGGGTTCCAGTTTCTCCTCATTCTTGTCAACACTTGTTATTTTCTGTTTTTGTCTTTTTACATAATAGCCATCCTAATGGATGTGAATTGGTATCTCGTTGTGGTTTTGATTTGCATTTCCCTGATGATTAGTGATGTTGAGCATCTTTTCATTTGCTTATTGGCCATCTGTATATCTTCTTTGGAGAAATGTCTATTCAGGTCCTTTGCCCATCTTTTAATCAGGTTGTTTGTTGAGTTGTGGGAATTCTCTATATATTCTGAACGTTAACCCCTTATCAGATATATGATTTGCAAATATTTCGTCCTATTCCCTGGGTTGTCTTTTCACTCTGTTGTTGATGACTTTTGGTGCACAAAAATTTTTAGTTTTGATGTAGTCCAGTTTATCTATTTTTCTTTTCTTGCCTGTGCTTTTGGCGTTACGTCTAACATATCATTGCCAAAGCCAGTGTCATGAAGCTCCCCCCGTTTTCTTCTAAGAGTTTTATAGTTTCAGTTCTTACATTTAGGTCTTTGGTCCATTTTGAGTTAAATTTTGTATTTGGTGTGTGGTAAGGGTCCAACTTCTTTCCCCAGCTGCCAGGAGTGTTGGCTGAGGCCACAGCTCACTTCTTCTGCAGGAACTACCCTGGACAAAAGAGGAAGGCTGCACTCCAGGTTACATCCCCTCCCCAGGTGCTGCCCACATCCAGTGACTGGTCACTGTGAGGGAACAAAGGGCACAAAGGTCCGCCTCCCTCACCTCCATGTAGAACAACTCCAAAGTGTCATCACAGCTCCAAAGAACATCACCATTTAACCTCCTGCTTTGCCTCTGCCTCCCACTCTTCCCTTATTTCCTCAGAGATGTTCCCAAGAGCACTACACGAAAAGTATTCTACACACAAATTTTAGAATCTGTTTCCCAGGAAGTCCAACCTAAGACAGTGGTCTAAATAAGTAAAAACCATTTTTTAAGTAGATGTTCTGGTTATCCATTTAGTGCCTTGCAGCTCCAAATCTACCTTCATTGTCTGCTCTGTGATAAGGGAGCTGGGCCCTGTAAATGTTCCCCTTTACCAGCTGGCACAATGTAAGGCATTGTCAGTAAAGGGCACTGGAGGGACTCTGTAGGAAGAAGGGGGACCCTTCCTGGTTCCAGTGTGCCTAGCTTGGCAGACTCTTGCAGTGCATGCAGCTTCTCCATGCCAGGGTCCTGCAGCGTGCAGCAGGCTGCAGTGCCCAGGAGCTTCCTCCAGTACCCCTTGGGCAGCTTCAGGGTAGATTGCAACCAGTGAGGCACCTTCCTGTGAACAGCTTCTCCAGCATCTTTTGGGTGGTGTTGCAGTGAGTTTTGAAGTATGGCACCTCCCTGTGGACAGGTTCCTCCAATACCCCAGAAGACAGATTTCTAGGAAGTTCTGCCAGCCCAGCATTTCATGAACTTCTTTGCCATCCAGTGAACCACAGCCCTCTCCAATGAGGTCTAGATCTCACGTCTGGAGGTGCCACTTCCTTGGGGGGACTCTATCTCAACTCCCAAGGATCATGGCTGCTCCTTATGCCTGCTATTCCTGAATTCTTTAGACTTCTTTCCTTTCTTACTGTTCATTCCCTCATTACACTAATCCTCTGTCATAGTTAATAGTTCTTTATATTAAAATTTCCCTGTTCCATTTACTATATGATTTCTATCTCCTAATTAGACCCTGACTGATATAGTTGGTTATAAAACAATATACCTGGTGTTAGTCTAGTTTGGTGGGGAAAATACAACTATGCGCGGAGAAAGAATAAGACAGAAGAATCTGTACAAAAGGCAGAATTAAGAACTTTTTTGCTTTATTTTCTTTGGTTGTTTTTCTTTATTTTCCAGATTGGGTTACTTTTATAATCAGGAAAAATATTTTAGGAGGAAAAAAAGTACCATGCTAGCTTATAAGGTCCTTGGTATACACTGAATACTTAACCAAGTAAATTTAGTTGGCCTTATGTTATAGAGCTGTGCTGCTCAAAGCGTGAGTCTTGCATCAGCAACATCAGCATCACTGAGAGCTCACTACAAAATGCAGACTCTCTAGGTGCACCCAGTCCTACTACATCAGAATCTGTGTTTCAACAATGTCCCCAGGTGATGCATATGCGTATTTGAGACATGAAGTTTGAAAAGCTCTGCTACAATGAGCAAGTTTAACTAGTAGCCTGGAAAAAATAACCTGGCTCTCCCCGGGGAGCTACCAGCTAGTTTCTTGGGAATTTGTTGCATAGAAGTGGGTAGTCTGGTACCTTTCTCAACAACAGTGTTCAAAAATTCCTGCATTTTTACCATCTGTCTATCCTACACTAAGGTAATCCTCTGAAGTCTTATGCGATTACACTGATTTGCTATTTATTGATGAATAATTAGTTCTTCAACACACTGGCTTCCCCAGAAAGCAGAGCCAGAGATGATGGCTTTTGCACTAATATTTTATTAGGGAATACAATCCAAAGAGGAGAAGGGCGGGATAAGGAGAGCAAAGCAGGGAGAAGGAGAACTAATATGGGGTGCAATATGATGTTGACTGCTGCCAAATGCAACTAATTAAGTATGAAAACATGCCCCTAAGACACAGTGTTGTCTCTCTCAGGACTATCCAGGCACTGGCTTCTGTCTGTCTTTAGTCCGGTGTTGGCCCCATCTCCCACACTTTGGGTTACAGATGCATGAGTGTGGGTGTCTAAAGAAGTCCCATGGCAGAGGCAACAGGGAAGTCCTAGACAGGAGGTGAGAAATGGGTAGAACAGGCAGGACTCAGGAGCAGTCAGACTGCACAGCCTGAAGTTGTTGAGAGCCCACAGAAAGCTGGTCACCATAGCGGCAGCTGAAGTAAGGGAAACAATGGATAGGTAAGACCCAGAGAGTCCAAAGGGGTAAGAGGTGTCTGATACAGGAACATAATTAAGAGACTATTTCCCCAGAAAGTCATAATTTGTTCATGATTTGAAAAGTCAGTATCTGCAATTATGCTGGTTCTCAAATAATTTAGTAACATTTCCACTTACTTTTAAGAATGTGTCAGAGATGCTCGCAGATTAAATCTTTTTGAGATAAATCAATTACAAATGAAAGTTACAAGGATGAATAATGAAATAGAGTTTCTGAAGATGAAAATACTTGATCTGAATAATGTTAATACAGCTCTGGGGTAGGTATTTTTTTTATTCAGCACTTGAGGGGGTCGGGGTCTTGGGCTGGAGTGGGAACATTGTCCTAAAGGGTTTGCCTTCTGGTCTGAACTGGTGCAGGGCAGGTTAAGGGGTGGAGATCACTGGTAGAAGATGACCCGGACCGATGAGGGTTGTGTGTTGCTGCAGAGAGTGGGAGAGGAGAGCAGAAAACCTTCAACCACTGTACAATGTCAGAAGCAAGCAGCTTCCCAGTGGCAGCTACTGTGTGTAAACCACACTGCCCTGCACGCCACCTCCAAAGGGAGAGGCTCACAGTGGTTTAGTTTCCATGTTAGTAAGATTAAGTTCACAAACCTCAACCACCAAAGCAAGAAATGTTGTTGAGTATTGTAATATAGTATCAAAGCAGATATATTGTCGCTAGTTTAGTCCCTTAAAGATATCAGTCATGATCTACTGGAGGGCTGAGGATGGGGTTGGTTCCCAGGAGAGGGTTCTGTAATTTTATCTGTAATTAAGTGGGACAATATATGTACCTGCCTGTAGCTCAGGATCTGACACCTGTTAGTTTCTGTCCTCTATTCCTGAGCTGTGTTGCCAGCACTTCACCCACCGTGGGCATCATTTTCTTTATCTGTAAAATGGGCGTTACAAGTCTTGACCTACCTGGCTCATGGAGGAAAAGACATATTCTGAAATAAAAAACAACAAAACCCTGAAGAAAAACTCAGCAGTGTGGGCAAATAGGCAGGACTGATGTGTAAATATCAGAATGTTAGTTTGTTAAGAGTAAGAAATGTTCAGAGAGCCCTGTTATGGTGAAAAAATCTTCTTGGGAAGCTGAAATAATCAGAAGGTTTCTTGGTGCACAAGACATCAAAGCATCAGGAATGAGGTGGAGACCTCAGAACACCTGTTCTGGGAGATGCTCCATGAAAAAGAAAGTTTGTGATCACATAGGTTTGAGAAATACTGCATGCACTAACCCCTGTTGGGGATTCACAGTGCAGACGTGTGCACGGTGCCTGCCAGCCGCAAGCACCAGAGACTGCCGTATAAACTGGACTATCAATTTCAAAGCTAGTAATGAGGAAAATACCCAAGCTGGAATACTCGTGTGAATTGGCCAGCACCTTCACACCCCTATACACCAGTGATTCTCAAACTTGAGTGTGCATTAGGATCACCTGGAGTTCTTGTTAAAACACAAATTACTGGGATCCCTCTCCCCCTGAATATCTGATTTAGTAGACCTGGGGGTTGGGGTGAGAGAGTGTATTTCTAACAAGTTCCCAGGTGATGCTGATGCTGCTGGTCCTGACCACACTTTGAGAATCACTGCTCTAGACAAATCTTTATGGAAAAGCAAATTACAAACAGAAGGTGGATTTCTTGATGAGCTGGCATCATGAGCTGCATTCACTTGTTGCATCCATTTTTCAAAGATAGATATAAATCCAGGTACCCACACTCTCTGACAGGTGGTCCTCTCCTGGACAGTCCTCAAAAACTGGGTCTGTGTGAGCTCTTTGGTTTTCCCTAGGTCCCACATTCAGTTTTTGAGTGCTCTCTTCTCAACCCATCATGATCACCTGGTTAGGTTTTTTGATTAGACTTGTTTTTGCTTTGCTTCCTTGAGGCTACTCAATCTTTAGGTTGATTCATTCTTGGAAGGCTTCCTCTGCCAGACCCACAAAGCACCCCCCATCTGACCCCCTCTATCCTGGGCTTCTTTTTATTGCATTTCTGTGGAGGAGTTGACTTCTGGAAAATAAATACCAACGACTGTTTCCATTTTCCTGGGCCTTTGCACACAATCGCCCTGAACTAACGTTTTTAGCCCTGGGGACTGGGAAAAGGGAAAAGGTCTTTACATTGCAGGAGCTTTTAAAAAAGGAAAATATAGAAGTGGCACCAATTGTCCCTCCTCTAAACCTTTTCTTGTTAGCCCCAGGTAAATGTTTCTCGCAATCTTAAGGTCTTCCTCAGAAGTATGTGGCCCACAATGGATACGTGAAGTTAATATCACCCCTTGAACTCAGATTTGGTTGCAGCTGGGAGAAGATAAGAGGGTTCAAATTAGGCTTCAAGCATCCTCTGAACAGTGAGGATGCACTCAGCCCCCTCCTCCCCAACTCCTGTCCATCAGAGGAAGGCTAGCTTGCTCCTGGGCCCTCCCTGCAGGGTGACGGCATCGGAAGGTGGCTGGACGGGTGGTGGGATGTCTATCTTTCTTTGGCTTCACCACATATGTCAGGATGATAAGATAGATGGCGATGCCACAAATCAAGCCATTTGGCCACATTCCATTTACCTGTTCAAAACTGTTTTTGCGTCATTGTATACTTTAAACCAAAACATCCCGTAGTTATTACCTGGTATGTGGGGACTGGTGAGGTGAGACAGGACCACATGACATTTTGCAGTGGTAAACAGTTGCAAGGTTGACACTTGTCTTGTGTTTCCTTCTGTCCTCATCTCAACCAAGTTTAGGCAATCACAAATACAACTCTAAAAGAAGTGTCTCTTACAATTTCCCTCTTTATGGTGGTTAGTCTCAGCAAACAGACTTCAAATCCCTTTCCCAAAAGCCATCCATTTCATGCCATGACTGATTCTTTTCTCCTAGTGAAAAGCAAGAGGAGCTAGCGAGGCAGCACGAAAAGGCTGTCCTGTCATTCAACCACACCATGGAAGAAAAAGCCACTACTGCTGTTTACATCAATGAGACTTATACCAAGATAAATTCAGAGAAGGAGGAACTGGAATTGCAAAAAAAAAGTATTCAAGATGTAAAGGAACAAATGGAAAAAGCAAAAGCAGAACTTTTAAAAAGAAAACAAAAATTGTGTGAAGAGGTAAGTGGTATGACATTTTTTAAAATATGTACTGAATTGTATAGGATTCAAGCAGGAAAAGTGGGAAATAATGTGTTTGTCCTCGAGGCTAGCAAGCGCTCCCGTGGCATCTTCTGTGAACATTGGTGTGGGGATAGGGCAGAGACTCAAGGACACTGGAGCCCCTTGGGGACGACATTTGCTTGTGTATCAGCATCTCAGTTCATGGGAAAGAATATGAGTGACAAGATTTGTAGCCCTGGGATGGCCTCTTGCTCATATGCAGCCTTTTAGGGACAAGGCATTTGCCTCCATGTCATCTGGTTGCTTGTGAGAGTTCTGAGGCCTTGTCTCTATGGACAGGACCAGGGAGTTCAGCTCTGCCGGAGCCTGTGGCTTCTGCTGAGTGAATCTGGGAGGAGCGGCCTGCAGGGGGACTCGGCAGAGCCTAGCGCCCCAAGAGGGAGACCAGCAATTCTGTGATGGTGGGGCAGGGATGACCACTGCATCTTGTTGTCCGCTAGGCCAGCAAGATGTTAATGAAGATTCACCATCAGAATGCTGTATGACCAGTTCCTCCTTGTTCTGCTTAGCATTGATTCCATGGTAAGACTTGGGCTGTCTACAAATTCCAGCCAGTTCTGAGCCTCTTTATCCACTAAAACCAGGCATTATTTTTCTCGAGTATAGAAAGCTCAGCCCTGGTCATCCTTGGAACAGGCTCTTTGTGACGTAGCTGGCAAAGAGTCCCTTGGGCATCCTGCAGCTGCTAAATAGAAAGCTGAGCTCCCTGGACCTTCTCAGGGGTTCCAGCCTGGGCTGCAGTGCTGGAAGCAACTGAAATCCGTGTCTCAAAAATAGCGATGGGCTCCTTCACTGGGCTAGACCTTACCTGGATTTATTGTTATCACAATGAAATGGACATTTCAGGACAACAGGAACCAAAAGGGGTTTTCTTGCTTTCATTCCCTATCCACAACAGCGTGGAGGGCCGCTCATTTGACCCCACTGTTTCCAGCCCTCTGCTGAGAGCAGCGTTGTGTTCCCTCTGAGCTGTCCAGAACCCCCAAGCTGGAGTGGCTCAGTTAAGTACAGGGGCCAAAAGTGGGATGTGTCTGTGTGTGCACATCTGAGTAGCAACTTCCAAGGCGGTGGGCAGCAAGGACAGGGGAGCTCTGTCCCTTTTCTTTACTTCCCCTGGGACGAAGAAGTGGTCAGTGGTGGCATCGGACCTGCGCTTTGCCCACCAGGAGGAAGGCTCCGCAGGGCAGGGATCATGTGTGTTTCATTCCCTGCTGTGTCGCAGCACCGCGGGCAGGCCTGGCGGACCTCGCACATGCTAGGCACTCTATAATATCACTTTATTGAATGAATGAGTTTCTAACTTCATTTTAAGCCCTAACGGGAAATTTTTTCCCTTCCTATTCTTTAATATAAATGTTAAAATGCGAGAAAGGAAAGCCAGAGGGGCTTCAAATAGGGAATTTGCAAACATGACAGATTCTTCTTCCTTATGTGAATGGTCTTTCTTAGGGATCCACAGGCTTTTTCTGGAAAGGACCAGTAAATAGTAAATATTTAGGGCTTTGCAGGACATACAGTCTCTGTCGAAACTACTCAGCTCTGCCATTTTAATACAGAAGTAGCCATAAACAATACCTAACTGAATGAGAGTGTGTTACACTGTGTTTTACAAAGAGAGGTGGTGGTGAATCTGGCCCATGGGTTGGTGTTTGCCTACCCCAGTCTATCTCCCTGGAGAAGGGCACCAGTTAGGGCACTCTCAGATGCAATAGCAGAAGCCCTGACTTGAACTGGCCTAAATCGTAAGGGCATTTATTACCTCACACAGTAGGAATTCCTGAGGTAGGACAGCCTCTAAGACTAGTTAATTCAGTGGCTCATCCCTCCTCTCCTCCATCCTTCATCTTAAGGCTGGTTACCCTCATGGTCACAAGATGGCTGCCGGTGACAACTGGACTGTGGGCTTCCTTATTCAGGTAGAAAGAGGAAAACCTTCGCCAACCAAGGACCATATGTCTTCCTGCTGTGTCTGATCTGGTCAGGTTAAGACAGCGCCCACCCCTGGAATAATAATGGATCCTAAGGGAATGCTGTGTGCTATAGTTGGGCTAGACCAACTGAGGTAGATATTAAGGCATCAGCCACCAACCTTCACTAAAGACACATTGATAGGCCGCGGTAACAGCCTGTTAATTCTCTTTACTTCCTAGGAGAAAGGAAACACTGTTACAGGCGTCAGAGAATCTTGCAATCCATAAGATCTCCCCTAACAAAACAAAATACTTTTTGCCAATATTATTTCTATAATTGCAAGACCTTGGGAGAAGGCTTAGTCCAAAGTATGAACATAGAATTCCAGTTTTCAACAAAATTTGTTAATCACAAAGTTTCATTCATATGCAACTGTGCCCTGATGCAGAGATAAGTGAGAATGATCACATTCGTTCAGAGTGGCCACTTTGGGGGAATTGACTGCTGGCTTTGATGGAAATCACCCAAAATATGTTTTTATAACTCTTTAATACAGAGTTGAATGTACTTTCTCAGGACTTACAATTTAGTTGTTACTTTTTTCTTGATAATTCATTTTGTCAGACAAATCCATGACGCGTTTGATTTTCATAAGAGGGTACTCACTTCATAAGGGTCTGACAAGTGATCAGAATCTGTTTGATCTTGGTAAAATGGTAAGAAATTATCCAGGATTGTGAGCTGCCTTGTCTTCGGTGATTTTGTTTACTCTGTCTTTAGTCTGTTTTATTTCCCATTAAATAATGTGAACTTAGATTTCCAGACAATTCTTCATTCCTTCCTTCGACTCTCTTGATCTGCTTAGCACGCTGTCCATCTGGTAACCATTGCTGTTGTGTTTTACTAGTAAATTGCTACAATGGCAATTGCTTTTATAATTTGCTATTAATGATCATTGTTTTATTGCTCCTATAAATTTACTATTTCAACATTTTGTAATTGCAGTTTAGTCCTTGTGTTTCACTATTTTTCCTGTGATGCTGCAAAACAAGCAAACCTTGTTTTTTTATTTTTAATTTGTTGATAGATTGAATATGGTATACTTAGATTGAATATGAATTTGACAAAATAAACAAAGATTTCCTAAACTCCCTTTTCCTCATGAGCTTTTTGATTGATTTATTATGTTTGTCACTACAGATTGATGAATATAAAAATCTCTGTGAACTTGGGAGAAAGGAGACTTTTGAAAAGAAGAAAGAACTGGATAAATTAAAGCTTAAAGTGTCAAAAATGAAAGAAACAGTTACTACCAGCACAGTGGTAAGAAAGAATAAACGATGTGTTTCCAAGCCTGACCCGGGCACCTCTGTGAACACTGCCTTAACTATAACTGGTAGTAGGTGTTTTAAAAAAGGAGTTGATTTTAATTCCTCTTCATACCATTCTGGGGAACTGTTTTTGGCATGTTAACATATTCTGACACTTTATTTAGAGTGTTATGGTGCAATTGTGTTTTCTTCTTCAGGAATATGGTGGGAAGAAGGAAGTTGGGAATGCACATCCTCTCCAACACTTGTTATTTCTTGTCTTGTTAATTATAGCCGTTCTGACAGGCGTGAAATGATATCTCATTGTAGTTTTGATTTGCATTTCCCTAATAATTAGTGATATTGAACATCTTTTCACGTGCCTCTTAGCCATTTGTGTATCTTCTTTGGAAAAATGTCTGTTCAGATCTTTTGCCCATTTTTTTTATTGAGTTGTTTGTTTCTTTGTTGTTGAGATGTGTGAGTTCTTTATATATCCTTATTTTAAAGATAAGAAAACTAAAGCTTATGTAGGTGGCTATAATTGAAAAGGTTAATGTTAATACCACTTTTATGTTAATTAAAACAAAAACGCCAGGGCCGGCCCTGTGGTCTAGCAGTTAAGTTCTCGAGCTCCCCTTCGGAGGCCTGGGGTTCGCAGGTTCGGATCCCGGGCGCGGACTGACGCACCACTTGTCAAGCCATGCTGTGGCGTTGTCCCATATAAAGTGGAGAAGGATAGGTACAAATGTTAGCCCAGGGCCAATCTTCCTCAGCAAAAAGAGGAGGATTGGCAATGGATGTTAGCTCAGGGCTAATCTTACTAACACACACACACACACACACACACACACAAAACCAAAAATGCCTGTCAATCTTCTGTCATGATTAGTTGAATTAATGAGTCTTTAGTGTATTTCTTCCATCTGTAAAACTTGAGAATTACATGTAAAACTATATGGGGCAACAGAAATATTGAAATATCACATTTCTTATCAGAATGCTGTTAATTCCGTTACAGTAGTTCCCCCTTATCTGTGGTTTCAAGTTCCGTGGTTTGTTACCTGCGATCAACTGTGGTCCAAAAATATTAAATGGAAAATTCTAGAAATAAACAATTCATATATTTTAAATTGTGCACCATTCTGAATAGAGTGATGAAATCTCCCACTCTGTCCCGCCTGGGAAGAGAATCATCCCTTCGTTCCCGGGATCCACGCTGTATATGCTACCCGCTGGTTAGTCACTTAGGAACCTCTCGTTATCAGATCGACTGTAAGATATCCAGTGCTTGTGTTCAAGTCACCCTTATTTTACTTAATGGCCCCAAAGCGCAAGAGTAGTGATGCTGGCTGTTCGGATACGCCCAAGAGGAGCTGTAAAGGGCTTCCTTTCGGTGAAAAGGTGAAGAAAATTCTTGACTTAGTAAGGAAAGAAAAAAAATCATATGCTGAGGTTGCTGAGATGTATGGTAAGAATAAATCTTCCATCCACAAAATTGTAAAGAAGGAAAAAGAAATTTGTGCTAGTTTTGCTATTGCACCACAAACTGCAAAATTTATGGCCACAGTGCATGATAAGTGCTTAGTTACGAGGGAAAGGCATTAAATTTGTACAATAAGATATTTTGAGAGAGAGAGAGAGAGATAACATGCACATAACTTTTATTACAGTATATTGTTATAATTGTTCTATTTTATTATTAGTTATTATTGTTAATCTCTTACTGTGCCTAATTATAAACAAAACTTGATCATAGGTATGTAGGTATAGGGGAAACCGGCACATAGAGGGTTCAGTGCCATCTGTGGTTTCAGGCATCCTCTGGGGGTCTTGGATCGGAACCCCCATGGATAAGGGGCGAGTACTTTATACCTTGTATAGGCTGGTTCTGATCATAATAGTTACAATATATCTATTATGATATCCAATTATAAAACATGAGTAAAATCAAAAATTTCCTCCAAATATGTGCATTTAAAAAGATCGTTATCTGTTTTTTAAATATCAATGTAGTGAGGAAGCATGAGTCAGGCCATGCTCGAAGGAAAACATACGATTGTATAAAACAGATTTTATCTGCCTGTCCAAGCTCATCTGTCTCCAGTTTAGCCTCATAAATTGTTAAGTCAAGTCCGCCACCAACCTGGCTTGGGAAAATGAAGTATATGGTCCTTAATTTGTGCTCCACAGATCTCGAAGGCCAAGTTAGACAAGGCTTGGAGGTGGTAGGGATAAACGCCCTTCCAGTGTCATTCTCCACCCTCACAATCCAGCCTGTCACTCCCACTCCACCTTACCAGTGGAGAATAGTGTTCACAAACTTGAGTATCACAGAGATCTGGGTTCAAATTTTGGCTCTACCAACCCAAAGTTTCCTCACCTGTAAAATGGGTGTAATAATCTTTCGTATTTCAAAGGGCTTTTGTGGAGGTCAAATGAGGTCATGCCTATAAGGCTTTTACCTGAAGGCTTTGTATTTGGTAAAGTTTGTTGTTGTTGTTGCCTGAGATTAGAAAACAACATTTTGGCTGTGGACTGAGACAGCAAGAAATTTCAGATTAATCTTCATGTGGTAACTTTAGTTTAGAAAACTCTGCATCCAGGTCAAGCTGATGTGATGTTGGCAGAAAAAAATAATCGTGTGTGATTCTCAAGGTGGCCTGCATGTCCAGGGCAGGGAGGACTGAGGGCGAGAGGTAACAGGTGTCAGCCTTGTGGGCCTTATCGTATAGTCACTAGTCCTGGTGACTGGTCAGAGTCCTTTAGTCACTCTGCTGATTTTGATGGCAGTTCTAGGATTTCAGACCCCTGTTAACTCTGGAACTAGTTATAGCCCAGAAGTGTAGTCATGTGGGTACTTTGGAGAAAGAAATAATTTGGGAGAGCTGTCACCTACCTGTGTCACCTGGCATAACCGAGAGCACCTCTATGCTCGCCACAGGTGTTTCTCTGACCCCACAGTGCTGTGCAAGGTTAGATGGCATAAAATAACCTGTGCATGGTAACTCTGTGCCAGAGAGCAGAGGAGTTTGTTTGATCAGCTTTCTCTCAGCTCCATTCTCCCTCAAAAGCTGAAGTGCAGACCCAAGGCTCTGAGAAGTTTCCCTTACCTTTTCTTTTTTCCTAAACTGCATTGTAAAAATATCTGTTTCGAGGAGAGAGTCAAGATGGTGGCGTAAGCAGACTCTGAACTCACCTCCTCCCGCGGACACAGCCAATTTACAACTACTCGTGGAAAAATTACCCCTGAGACAGAACTGAAAACTGGATAAAGGAACTCCTGCTACAACGGACAATCC